GGAGGAGGCAACCTGATGGGAATGCCACAGATGTATCTAGGGCAGATGCAGTTCCAGAGCCTGGCACAGCCAAGTAGAAACCGTCGGCAGTGGGGTTTCTGCTTCCGGCTTCCTCTGCAGGCTTCTCTGGGGTGAGACACAGGGCACGTCTTCAGAGGGGTTTCCTCTGTCATCATGGGTGGACTGTTGGAGTCTGGCTCCCTTGATGGAAGGTCTTTAAACTGACACAGACCCCATGCCAACCTGCCCAAGCCTTTGAGTCTCCCTATGGCTCAGGAACCACCCAGATAGTCAGGGGGTAAGAAGAGCACAAAGGAAATGGCGGCTGCCAGTGTCCATGTGGGGGTGATGAAGCCCCAGTGTGTTGGGAGCTCAGGCACAGAGGAAGCCCGCAAACCTGGGGCTGAGAGAGAAGCCCAGTAGAAGCTCCTCAGGATGCTCTGAGAGTATCTGTGGACACCTAGCAAGGAGTTTGAAAAACAAAGATAACTCTGGAGAGGATGTCAATTCGGTCCCTGGAAGAAAATAGTGACTGTTCTAATAGTCATGAGTCACCGACTGTCCACAGATGGCATAGACTGGGGTTTTCAGGCCGTTTTCCCGCTGTTCACATGGTGGGTGCTGCTATCCCTTTTTCACGGAAGGGGAAACCCCAGCTCTGAGAAGCAAGGGGGCTTGTCCCGGACTCCCAGCTCACAGGTGGCAGAGCTGGTACAAGAACCCAGCCGCAGGATGCTCCGAAGTCTCTCTCTAGGCCCTAGTGTGATCCATAAATTCTCAGTGTGGGCTCTGGAATCCGCCCTAATCTGTTAAGCATACGCTCTTAACAAATGTCAGCTGTGTGATGATTGTGACAAGGAAACAACTGCATTCGGACCCCACGCTCCAGAGGCTGGAGAGGACTGTGGATCCAGCCTGGGCCTCGGTGCAGCCTCTTCCACATCACAGTCTGACACCGAGTATGTATATGACATGGCGACACATGCCTGCAAACACCAGCCCGTATCCTTCTGGCTTAAGTGCTCTTGGCATACATCTGCTCAGATGAAACCCCAGAGGCAGTGCAGAGGCGGGACTGTGCCTTCTCTCCCATCCTGTGTAAATTCCAGAGAGGTCGCAGATGACCATTCTCCACATAATTTCTTGTCATCCTATTGTGATTGTCTCTGGCAGTTTGATCAAAGCCTGATCACGGGGTCGTGGGTAGCCCTATTTTCTTAGAGTGAAAGGTGAGAAAATGTAGGAAGAGGACTAATATTTAGATGCTTACTTGGTGCGAGGAACTGAGCTACATACATTTTTAATATTACTTCATTTAATTCTCAGCACTCCCAAAGGAGGCATCAAGACTACCATTGTCCAGACAAGGAAGTGGACACACAGACGTGGACTCTACAGGATTGAGGCGGGAAGTTGTGGGACAGGGTTTGCACACACACCTGCACAATTCCAGGGCCCGCACTCTGCTTTTTAGAAAAGTGCACCAAATGGGCCACTTTCCACAGTTCATCAGCCACTTACACTAATTTAAGGTTTCCAGAAGAAAAGTCAGACCCGAGGGAACCCTGGATTTACATGGTAACCACGCTGAGAGATGACCCACCTGTCCGTCCCCATTGCACACTTCAGTAGTGCAGTATCTGCTGCATAAGCAGGAGAAAGATAGGTTCATGGCTTTGCTGGTGTCAGAGACAGTGGAGACTGGTGTTTTTCAAACTGTTCTGCCTATACAGTCCTAGGTACTTGCAAGTTCTGCCAACATATTAAAATTGCATTTCTATTTTAATGATAATAAAAAAAAAAAACCCTTATTTTTCCTAGTTATAAAGACAAACTTTCTCTTTGTGGTGGTAACTTGTAAGTAAAAGTGAAATGTCACAGAATAACATTTTAGGCAGGTGTGTGTTACACTGGAGGCTACCAATGTATTTTGGGGGGTTGCAGTATTTTTTTCCTCTGTTGGTATGGATACTCAGTGTGAAATAGCCAGAGTGCACGGATTCCTCTTGGGTACCGAGGCATTCGATTGATGGAAAATGGCCATCAGCCTCTCAAGACTTCTTTTCTGATTAGATTTCAAAAGGCCAAGGTCCTGTTCTGATCCTCAGGTGTTCCTAGGCCAGGGGAAACAGTGAGAACTCACTGAAGTGCTGGAGCTGCCGCAGATGAAGGGAAAACCCTCCCGAGGTGGACTCGGGAAAACCAGCAGGTTTGAGAAGGGTTCCCTGTGCTGAGGCTTCCCTGCTGAGGGAAATGTCAGCTGGTTTAGCAGAACGAGAAGGGCTATGTGCGCTGTGAGAAAGACAGCAAGTACGATCCTTGGTAGGATCACACATACCCAGATGGAGCTGTAAAAGCTGCACATACCCAGATGTAGCTGTAAAATTTCATTTCATACACTTCCAAATTATCTGGATTCTTTTCAACAAACATTTATCACTTCTGTAAGTTACCGTGTAAAACATGGACTGCAAAGATACATAGCCAGTCCAGGGTGACTAATGCCTCTGGGAAGCAGGTGAGAGGGACAGGACCACAGAGGGTGCTTATCTGAAATGTGCTACTTCTTAAAACAAAACTGGAAGCAAATGTGAGGAGCCGCCAACAACCGTGAGCCCTGGCTAGTGATTCTAGAGTGTCTGTCATCTCACCCTTTCTATCTTCCTTCCACCGAGGGAACCCCGTACGCTCCTCAAGCCCCACACACCTGATCTTGGACTAAGGCACATGGCTTGATAAAAAACAGAACAAGGACTGGCTGGTTAGCTCAGTTGGTCAGAGTGTCATGTTAATAACACCGAGGTCAAGGGTTTAGATTCCCCTACCAGCCACACACAGACACACACACAAAAGGCAGAACAAGTCATCATGTGCTTAAGTACAAATTTAATAAAGCCTTTGCTCATGTCTTAATCCGTAAGTTATCTACGAAAACAAAAAAGCCCATAACTTTTTAGAGCCATCAAGAGCCATTAAGGTGTCAATGAACACCAGCTATAAAAGTACAGTCAGTGTTTTAGATAGTGCAATATTTCCAACTGTTGAAAAGAATTTAAATGAAATTACAAACTACACCTCCTCATCAAAAAATAAACGGGTAAAGTTGATATTGGTGCTTATAAACCACTCTCTCCCTAATCCCCCACTAGCTCTGATTCTCAGGTAATAAAAATCAAGATGGGATCAATCTTTTCTATGCAGGTGGATAGTTACTAGGCCCCAACACATATGTACGAACCTTCTCAGTGTACACACATTCAGAAGAAATCTTCAAAGGAATCAAGTTTTAAAGAAAGTGGCAAGTCCATAGAATCAGAATTTACTAAACAATCTTAAATAATAATAATAATAAATTCCTGTATTTAAATTCCTTGCCATCTTTCCATCAAAGTGAAGCACACATTCTGTTCTCCAGAAGCCCAGGGGCTCTGTCCCGGGCAGGACACAAGGCTCCAATGTGGAGACAGGCCTTGCCCGCTCTGCTGCCAACATGTCAGTTCTTGCTGGAAGGGGTTCTGCTGCTCCGAAGAGACGTGAGCCCTAAGCTGGCACCACAGAGCAGAGAAGGGCCCAGCACTCCTGCCTTCAGTCTAGGTAGTGGGGATGTGGAAGGAGCACAAAGAGGTGGGAGAGGGCCTTTGCTTCATCCCCTGATCTAGAGTAAAGTTCTAGGGCATGAGAAAAAAAAAAAAAATAGAATAAAGTTCTCATGACAAGGTAAAGAATGAGGGCAGAGGAGCACACTGGGTTGGAAAATAAAGTGAAAAAAGAAAAAAAAAAAGAAAACCAGCCCAGAGGGTGTGTGAGTTTCCTCAGCCTCATGAATCGTTGTCAGTGCAAAGGGCTCCTGGGTTCCCTGTGCTGAAGAAGGCCAGGCAGCAAGGCCCAAGTTTCTTGGAATTTTGCAGTCTATGGAGCAAAGCCACTGCCCAGATGGAACAAGTACCGTAGGTCAGTGTTTGTTTCTTCATTAGATAACAACAAGCGGGGCAGACAAGCAGGAACAGAGGCAGCTGCATCCTTGGGAACTGGCAGGCTTTGGGTAACAGCTAGTGCATCCTGGAAATGGAGCTGCTCTTAAAGGCCGGTGGTTTTTTCTCCCAAACCAGGACGCTGCTGTGAATGCATAGGATGGAACCAGCCAGTGGAAGCTCCTTGGCGGCTCGGCCTGCTGAGGACTCAGAAGTGGGGGAGGGCAGCAGTGTGGAAACGTGGCATCAAGGTGGGAGCAGTGCCCTGAACTTCCAGTGCTCCACAGCCTCCCCAGCAGATACCTTGGCTTCTCTGGGCAGCAGAAGGGCCTGGCTGTCTGGGAAGAGGCGGCTGTGGACAGGATGGAGGCAGAGACTTTGTTGGGTGCATAGAGGCTTGGCAAGGCCTTACCTGAGTAAAGGGTTTTCGGAAACAGAAGGAGAGGATCTCGCGTGTAGTAGGCTTCATGTGCTCAGACCCATGTCATGAGAACCATTCTGGACTCTCAGAGCTCCTGGGACTTGTTCAAACACAGCTCACTCAGAGGGTTAAGGGAAGACAGACTCACAAAAAGGCCAAACTATAAAAAAGAAGCCCCCCTGCAATCACCAGGAAAAAGGACCAATGTGGGCAGAATCCGGTGGTTTATTTTCAATACCCCCTTCCCCTTAGTATCACCTGGAGAATGCTGTGTAGTGTTATCACGTGCTTCTAAAGTTCCTGAGGCCACAGGGGAGTCTCATGGCTATAAAGAGGGTCTGGGGGCTGATGTCACCTGGCATGTTGGTCACGCTCTCAGGAGCTGAAGGTCTGGAGTCCACAAGGGCAGGTGGGTGGGTTGGGCGCAGGAGCTAGGAAAGCTCGAAGCCCGTGTTCATGCTGATGGCATAGCGTAGCTTCTCACGGAGGACGCTCTTCTTGCTGTAGTTGGGCAGCTTCAGCAGGTTGAAGCAGGTGGAGGAGGTGGGCAGACGGCCGCCGGGCTCCCGCTTGCGGATGGTGAAGAAGCCCCGGAGGACACTGCCCAGGGTGTCACCAGTGTCCTACAAGCACACAACACAGCCTTGGGTAGGGAGGTACCTGCCTGGAGGCCTGGGCACCAGGCAGAGTGGGGGAGCTGCCCTATGAGTGCATGCACCGCTGCCTGAGGTCAGCTGCAGACTCGGGACTACTGGCCTGAAGGGCATGAGTACAGGAAGCAACTGCTGCTCCTCAGGGCCTGCGCGGGGGAATCCCATGCCAAGTAAGCTCATGGAAATGGGGCCATCTGGCTAAAAGCTAACTGTCGCTTAACCAATTTTCAGAACAGAATAATGTAAAACTATTTTAGGTACCAAAACACTTCTGAATGCAGCCTAACATTCCCCCCTAACCTTGCCTAAGACAGACGGTAACTTGAGTCAACTTTCCCTATGTGTGGAGCTGAGGATCGCCTAGTGTCCTATACGAAGAGGGATCAGGAGCTCACACTGGGGCACCATGAGAGGCCATTGGGTGTTTATGGGGGTGGCACACTTATCTCAGCACCCTCTATGGTCAGCCTCGCCATACACAGAGCATGATAACCCCTGTGGCATTCGTTCTCTTTTAGCAGATGAGGAAATGAAGCAGCTTGCCAAGCTGCGCATGGCCAGCCTGGGAGGAGCCAGAACTCCACCTGCATCTGTCCACTCCCTGAGCCCTGTTCTCACCCTCTCCCATGCTGCCTCTAAGGTCTGGAGACCTGGCCAGACCAGCAGCTGCTAAAAACAGCATGCCCTCACCCCCCACCAGGTACTCTTACCTGAGGAAAGCCTCTCCTGACATGAGAACTGTGGAAGCCCCATCAGCTGGCTCTGAGGAGCCCGCTGCCTGCCTGCCTTGCTGAGACAGTGGGCACAGCAGATGACCACTAAGAGGGAAGTCAAGGAACCCAAAGCCAGCTCTTACCTGATCATCTGACACTTCGACACAGCGGATGGAGAAAGGAGGCTTGAGGTAGGCGAATCCCAGGAGCGGCGGCCTGGAGCAGCTGGTCACAAACTGCAACACAAGGCGGGTCAGAGCGCACAGAGCAGGCTCTCACTGCCATCGGGAACACTAGCTTTCTTGGTCATTTCTTGGTCACTACATCACTAACTGCTGTTTAACCAGCAGCAGGTGGCGACAGACAGAGGTTCCTGGCCCACGAACTGGGACATGTCACATCTCTCTCAAGGGTGTTGTTCACTGGGACAAAAACACATGAATTCCATACCCAACAGACATGACTAGTGGTTTGTGGGAGAGCGTGACTGAAGAGTTTAGAAACAACACAAACTCCCAAGCAGGCACTGGTGTGATGCCCGAGACAGGTCTCCAGAGGACTGCCACGTGGTCAGCAGGAACAGAGTGATGACTGACACCCTTCCTTAGAGAGAGACTGTGCAATGAGAGCACTGGAGAGAGCAAGGCAGAAGCTGGTGGTGCACGCTAAGTGTGGTGTAGGGGGACAGGCTGTGCCCAGAGCTGAGGCCCAGAGCCAGGCACAGGGAGCCCTGGTATAGCACCCACCACTGACCGCACTTGCCTGGCATTGCACCTGGTGTCCCGCTCAGGCATGCCCTCCTGAGCACCAGGGCTGGTTTACAGAGTGGCCTCTGTGAGCTGGGCTCCTGTGGGCCCCTCTCCAGGAAACTGATCTGCTCTCAGCATGCTGACAAAAATCAGGCCTCTGGAGCCAGCAAGGTACTGCGCAGCCCTCGTGGGGCCTGTGGGCAGCCAGCCACACTTTCCTGCTACATCCCGGGAATTCCTGGCATTCTCCAAACAGCAGCACCTGTGTTATTTCCCTAAGTGTGCTAGCTCATGCCTGGACATCAACCTAGATATCCAATGATAAACCTGCACAGAAAATTCCTAAGAAACCATTTTCTTTAATCCAACAGTGACCAAAAATGCTCTCTCTTCTCTAGGGGATATAGGGATCTGCTACTTACAACACCAAGCTATGCTCCAAAATTCAGTGGTAAGTTGAGAGTTTGAGTATTAAAATAAAATATTCCCATTTAAACAATGATATAAATGATTGTGATATTCCTGAGACCACCCCAAGACAGTTTTTGTATGTCATGCTTCAAAATAAGTTTTTAAAAAAGCACTGACAAGGGCCGGCCCAGTGGCGCACTGGATAAGTGCGCCGCTTGGGAAGCGCGGCGGCGCTCCCGCCCGAGGGTTCGGATCCCACATACAGACCGGTTCCCGCTCACTGGCTGAGCGAGGCGCGGGAGCAACACCGAGGGTTGCAATCCCGTTGCCGGTCCCCGGTCCGGTACGGGGGCAACACTGAGGGTTGCGATCCGTTGCCGGACACGGAAAAAGACAAAAGACAAAAAAAAAAAAAAGCACTGACAAGATAATATTCTTATTCTAACATGTTCCATTTATAAACAGCACAGCAGCAGCAGCAGCAGCAGCAGCAGAAGCTCACACACAGAGAGAATGACTGTCTCTCCACACTGGGCCGAGTGTTCAGTGAACACAACCTCACCAAACACTTCAGCATGCTGTGTGTCGGGACTGTGGTTAGACCTGTTTTAAGGATGAGCAGACAGACACAGAAGTGTCTGCATATCAATCCAGGCTGGCTCAGACCTGCTGCCCACTGCAAATTGGGGCTGGTCAAAGGAGGGAGGGGAGCTTTCACCCTCCTGCAACAGGACGAAAAACGGAGGGCATGGAAGCCTCTGAAAGCTCTGCTATCATTACATCTAAAAGCAGCACAGTCACATCACTTCTGTGCAAGAGTTACATTTCCTCCACCTGGCTCTGGAATCTGTCTGCAGTCACAGAAAAGGGAAGGCACTCGACAAGGAAGTGCAGTTTTGACAACAGGCTATCCAAAGGCACAAACATGCCCACTGTGCACATGGGCATGTGGTTATGAGACCCTGGCTTTCCTCTCTTTCTAGGAGAGGCAGGGATGCATGGTTTTACAGTTAGCAGAGACTGCTCTGCCTGCAAGAGGCACTGCTGGGAAAATGAAACCAATTCTCCTCAGGATCAACCTCTAGAATTCTGTCCTCCTCGAGACCGGTGGGGATGACTAGAGTGCTTGTGTATCTGCTGGACTAGAGTTAAGGCCGTCTCAATAGGAGTGAACTATCCTTAGAATGACCAACCAAGCAGAAAGAAAACCAGCTGCCATTTCAATTGGTGGTGATACTGTCTACGTTGCCTCAACAATGGAGGTCATGTGAGATGGTTCAAGAAACTCAAACGCCCCCAGAGTATGGCAAGATGTTCATCCTATATTGTCAAGTAGAAAAGCAGGTGGTAAAATGATGTGATTCCATCTTTATAACAGTACACACATATATCACACACACATAGACAAGTGTATGTGTCATCTAGTGTCCTATAAAATACTTACACTTTGCTGATTTCAGGAACAGAAAACAATGTAGTTACATCAGGGGGAACATTTTGAACATTCACAACTTCATGGTTAACAGAACAGGGGAGCTGGTTAATGTCAGCCACTCAATTTGCAAAAATATACATCGACATCAGCCTAATCAATCATGTGTGTTTTATTGGGACACTGTGTGTGTTGTACATGCATGTTTTACACTAATGAGAAAAAGGGTACATGGAGGTAGTCCCTGGTGAGTAGAAATGTAGATTGTTTAAAATTCTACATTGTAGGATATAGATTAGTTAAAATTTTGCTTGTTTGCATTTTATTAAGGTAAGGTAACAAACATCGCTTACTTCTATAATGAAAGGAAAGAAAGAAAACAGATGTCAGCAAGGCCAGCAAGAGCAAAGAGGAGGACAGAGTGCCACACCCAACAGGCACGCCCGCCAGTGCAAAGGTCTTGTCCCTGCAGCCAGGGGCACCCAGCAGCTCAGCTTCACCCCTCAAGCCCCTCTCTGGCTACTGCTTGGCCTATGTGGGAGGCCTACCTATGGGAAGGAGGATACACTGGATAATTTCATTTATTCCAGTGTAAATTATTACATCAACTGGTCTTCTAGGTTTAAGATAGTATCTATGAACCCATGAATGCATGCACAGGTAATAAGTAAAATACCTTCAGAAACATGGCTCTCTCATCGGGCGTGAAGTCAGAGGCCAGAATGTCCCAGAGCCAGATAATGACTCTATGACTTCCATGGAAACCACCGTAGTACACTGTGTGCTTCCTGCAAACAATCCAGACAACGGGCTCAGCAACATACTACTCTGATGGGCACTTATGGACACAGGTGGCCATGGCAAATTAGACAAGGTGCACAACCAACAGACAAGCTTGGTTAACACTACTAACTTCTCTTAAAGCCAGAAGTTCATGCCTTAATAATCCCATCTCCTTGAAAGCTAAATGGGCAGAGATTTTGAAAGATGGTCTTGCTTTTCCCAAGCAGAAGTTGACACAAGATCCAGGATCCCATAACACCTAGAGCTTCAGAGAACCCTGCAGGCCTCAAGACCTGCTTCCACTGTCAGTCTCTAGGAAGCAAGTAGTTGAACTCTGACTCCAGGGGAGTTCAACCAGTGATCAGGGAGGAGGAGGACATTTAGAGATGGGCTCCGGAAACAACCCTCCAAAAGGCACCCCGTGAAGGGAGCATCTCACTTTCCAGAAGGCCTAAAAATTTCACCCTTTCCCCCCTTGCCTGCCCCTTACTTTAAATCTTCCAGATCAATCTCAGCATTGTCACCAGAGATGAGACGCTGCAGCTCAGGGGTTGAGAACATTCGGATCCACTCGGGTTTGATAATGGAACGAAATCCGCTAATGAGGGCAGCTGTCTGATTTTTGATTTGAGTGTGCATTCGAAAATGTGCCATCAGATGGATGTAGCTAATTCTGTTGCCAGCAAGGAAGAGAAAACAATGGAAATTAACAGGACAGGGCAGGTTGTTACCAATGGGCTGAAAGATGAGGCTAGTCATTTCTGAACCATTTTACAAAAAACGCAAAAAATAGGACCAGAGCATTTCACCAGAACAGTGATGACAATGATTATAACAGCGCCCCTGAACTGCTCATCCTGTGCCACTATGGATGCGTTAAGTGTTCAAGGGCATTACCTCTTTGCTCTTCCCCAAAACACACGGTCATACCACAGGATAACCCCCAACTGTGCTGAGAATCAAAGTGAGATATTCTACAGATAAGAAGAGGGCCCTTCTTACAAAGGGTTCTTTTTGGACTTTTATTTAATCTCATCCCTCTGAACATAAGTTAAGATACAATTCAGTCCTCCAATAAGCTTTAAAGTAGAGAAAATTTGTTTCATGGTGAAACTTCAACCAAAACCTTGCTAATCTGGACCAAGAGTCTAAAGCCATGAAAAGGCAGACCTGCAGGATGTTTGTAACAAATACAGTTGGGTCACCTGTAGGTTCAACTGGAAAGTCAGAGTGAGTAACAATGGTTTCAAGCAGAAGGTCTTCTGGGTCTGCTTTTATGAACACAATGATCTCACCTACAACTGTATAATACATCCCTTTTGAATAGGGTGAATACATCCTATGGGCTTGGCTAGCATCACTGATTTCTTAGTAAACCACTTACTTAGAGATTAAAAAACTTGAACCCAGCCCAAGTACAACTCTCACAAATTCCAAATTAGTACAGTCCAAGTAAATCTGTTTTACCCCACAATGCTCAGCACTAAGTTTCTGACTTTAAAAATATCCCTATTTAAAAAAATTATCCAGCAGCAAACCTGTACATCAATACATTTAAATATGAATTTTCTATTATTGCTACTCTTTTCATGTATTCTTTGAAACAGATTACTTATTCCATTTTAGAGAGCGGGGAGGGGAGAGAAAGAGAGAATGGGAAACAGCAACACCCAGTAAGTGCAATATCAACCATCATCCCTAAAGAGGGGGGACCAGTATTGCCAGGCCTTGTAAGTGAGTCTGCAGAACTGAATACCCTTACACTCACACTGAGACTTTTCTAAGAAGATGTAAGAGTTTCTGAAATAAGTTTCCACAGAGGAGGTTTCCAGGCAGGACATGAGTCTCACTGCAGCACGGCCCACATGGGCCTACCTCCTCTTCTGCTATATGCTGCAGCCAGAGTATGTGCTGGGAAGAATGAATGACCTACTACCATCATCCCCATGCCACAACGCCTGGCAAAACATGGCCTGTCGGGGAGTTGTGGCATTTATGTGACATGTCACGTATCTGATGATGGTGATCACCACTGCTGTCATTTATTAAGCCCCTCCTGTGAGTCCAGTATCCTGGAAGGTACTTTACACACATTACCTCCCGTGCAACCCTCTGAAGGAATGGTCAGAGGTTGCGTGTTGCGCAGGATCAGGACTCACCCCTACTATCTGATGCCCAAGCCTGGGTCCTCTCTACTCCCCCAGGCAGCCCCTCCCAACCTACGCTTTGTTCAAACTAATGCCCCATGGCCAAGGGGCAAAGCTGGTAATTTCAATCATGATGAAAACTGGGTCTGTTCTTCTGACTGTTCTGACAGTCTAAATAAAAAACTCCCCAAGCATGCAGACTGATCAAACCACCTGATCTGAGAGGAACATGATGCTCAGGAAAACTGGACTGTAACATGCATCTGATTCAAATGACTCTTCAGGTGGGACTGAGCCCTCACTTGTCACTGAAGAGACCAATGCTCAGATTAACAGTTCAAATGCTCAGCTGAGCCTGGCGGCAGAAGATTGACAGACTGACAACAGGGCCTACTCCACATGCCAGGGTCTACTGCTTTAATTAGGTGAGAATAGGATTAGGTGGAGACAGTGCTTTGAGTGCTTTTCTTCTAGGGACCAGAAAGGTCGACACTTAGGATACATTCCTAAAAGTCTATTATCTGTGACAATAGCTGCTGGGCCTCAGAGTCTCCTCCGATTCTCCATGTCTAAATACCTCTGTCTGCTGTATTTGAATTCATCACTGTGTCTTCTCAAGCACAGTGTTTTATACAATTGCCACACGCTATCATTCCACAATGATCTGCCCCTCCAAGATGTCTTTCTGCCTCCATGCCCTCTTGGTTCAGGACAATGTGCCTGAACAGCTCAGAATCCATCTGTCTATGTCTAGAGCTGTCATTAAATTCTTAAGATCACCACGGCCTGGGTGCCTCTGACCTTAGAAGTGCTACTGCAAAAAATAAATTGTCAATTCTTATTTTGCAAATGGAATTTAATATAATTTTGGCCTATGAACTGTAACCAGTAAATTCCATTATGATATTTATGGCCTCTTTCTACTTCAATCTATCTTAATAAATTCTCAAAGTAAGCCCAGAGAGCCAGAATGAAGTCTTTTCAAGTGGTGACCTTAAAAATCTAATCGCTATACTCACTTATTTTCATTTGTAACAGGAATGGTCTTCCCTCCGGGAATCAGTTCATGGCAAACAAGCTGGGGGAGAAGATGGGAAGTAATTACTAGAGAGAATTCTAATGTGGAAATAAAGCTTCTTGAAGATGAAAGAGCCTGACTCAAACATTCATTCTAATGATGGAATTAAGATGGTATGTGTTTTCACAAAAAGTCAAGGCTGAAACATCAACAAGCAGACCCTATGTGATCAATATGAAAGGTTTCTTCTCATTGGATCCTGCTCAAACATTTGTATTAAGGCTCCAGGATGTCACGGAAGGGAACATGTTAGCATTTAAGCACACAGCAGGGTGGTTAAATGAATGGTTGGTATATCCATAGCCTGGAATACTGTGCAGCTATTAAAAAAATATTTTTATTGAAAGGTGAAAAAAAGCCAATTATATAACAGCATGCATGGTACAGCATCATTTCTGGAAAAAAAATTATATTCATGCCCAGGATCAAGTCTGGAAGGACACAGGCAACACAGTAACAGTGGCACCCTCCAGGCACTGGCATTAGAGGTGGTTTTCATTTTCATCTTTATGTTTATGTTGTAGCTGAATTTTTTGTTAGAAGTTTCATTATTTTTGAGGAAGGCTCAAAATGTGATTAAGGATTTATTTGAAAACTCTATAAAATCAACTGCTCCCCTCAACTTCAGGAAAATTTCTGTGGGTCACCTAAAAATCAAAGGATACCTAATTTTAAACCTAATCCTAAAAGAAATTCTATTGATACACTATAACTCTAAAGATGTAGAAAGGAACAACAGTGACCCCTAGCCACAATGTTGTCAATATCTAGGAACACAAAAGAGGATTTTAAAGCTAGGAGGGTCCTTAGGAATCACCCAGCCTGGTTTTTCCCATAAAGGGTTCCAGGGAACACCATGTCTGTGACATTCTTTCTTTGAGAAAAAGAGTTCTGTGATTAGATTCTGTGATCAAAGAGTTCTGTAATGAATTGGGGAAACCTGAGGTTAACACAATCACACTAAGGTTTCTTTCTCACAGGCTTCTCAAAGCCCTTATAGGCAGCCTGCTCAGTGGCCTTTCAGGAGGAAGATAGGGCATACAGGGTTCCAAATGGTGTTTGAAGACACTGGTCCCATGAAGAACTCACATTTGAGGGCCGGCCTGTGGCTCACTTGGGAGAGTGTGGTGCTGATAACACCAAGGCCACGGGTTTGGATCCCTGTATAGGGATGGCCGGTTAGCTCACTTGGGAGAGCGTGGTGCTGACAACACCAAGTCAAGGGTTAAGACCCCTTACCAGTCATCTTTTAAAAGCAAAACAAAACAAAATGAAACTCTCATTTGGCAAAGGAAATAAGAAAAATGGGGCTCAGGGAGACCGAGTGATCTCTCTGAGGTGACACAGGCCCAAGGCCAAGAAGCCAGATTTGCCCTAACAGGCTCATGGCGTGGTTTCTCCAGAGCAGCCTTCAGCACATTATGCACACAAAGCCTCACGCAGGTGCCTTCACTGGGACAGAACTGGAAGGGGTAGAGGACACTTTACAGAAAAGCCAGAAGGAACAGCTGTGGGAGGAAACACTGCTGCTGCCATGATCTCAAGGGTTTCTCCTTCCTGCTCTGCTCTTCATGATGAGTATGAACAAGGACAGCATTCTATGAGAGCTACTTCTCGGGTGGCTTCGTCCGCCTCTTTAAGTCATAATCCTCCATTTGTAAGGGCTAATCCTTGCCATGGTAACCAAAAGCAATGTTATAAATGGGGAATTACTGCTTCCATCGGGAATTACCCTAAAATGTGATATAAACAAAGCAAGGTCTCTGTGGGGAGCTCTCCAAGAGGTGAGCAGGAAAAGGCCAGGTTGACTGGGAAGGACAGGGGGATGCCCTCCCTCCTGGCAAGGTGGATGGGCGAGGGGAGAGGGAGGGGATGAGAGACCAGAAAGACAGACAGATCCTCAGTTTGTGGATCTCTCTCCGAGGACAACATCAGGAGGAGGGCAGGTCCCAGGCAACCCATGGAAAGCAGGGAAGAAGAGCTCAGCGAGACAGGCTGACCTACCTGACCCATGACGTCCTCATCATAAGACAGCGTCAGGCCCAGGTCAGCAATGTCCCCGTCATAGCGCTAATGCAACAGAAGAGGAGAAAATGTTGGGGCCGAGGAGCATTATATTCTTGAAGAATTTTTTTTTTTTTTGTCTTTTTCCGTGTCCGGCAACGGATCGCAACCCTCAGTGTCGCCCCCGTACCAGACAGGGACCGGCAACGGGATCGCAACCCTCGGTGTTGCTCCCGCACCTCGCTCAGCCAGTGAGCGGGAACTGGTCTGTATGTGGGATCCGAACTCTCGGGCGGGAGCGCCGCTGCGCTTCCCAAGCGGGGCACTATCCAGTGCGCCACTGGACCGGCCCCAATATTCTTGAAGAATTTAACTCTTCCCCTCCTCGAGGTGCTGCTTTGGTGGTGTTAACAAGCTTGAAGCAAAGGAGAAGGCCACTCATCATCGTGAGGAAGGAGGCTGTGAGGATCAGTTCTGAAAGGGAGTGTCAGAGGGGACGTGGGGCCCTGCAGCACCTACGGGGACAGCAGGAAGGGAAGGGGCAGGAGAATGCCTTCCATGACATATGATAGGGTAAAGCTGAACCCTGTGGGGCTTCATGTAAGCTATGAATTCACTCTGGAGCTAGGTGTAGCTCAGCCGCCATTCCACTCACCTTAATGGAAGTGAGGTTTTTATAGAACTCTGAGTCCAGAGAGGGAAGTTCATCCACAGAGCTATAGAAGATGCTGTGGTGATGCCCAAGCAGCTGGCTTAGGAAGAAGGATGCGAAGGGCACGTCCACCACGATTCCCTGTGAGGAGAAACAGAAGCTTGCAATTCCACTGCCGAGAATTCTGTCTCACACTGCAGAGGTGGCCTCAAGGGTGTCACTGGCATCTCTAGTGACTTCCTAAGTTTTCTTTTCTTGGTGGCTGGCTAGTAAGGGGATCTGAACCCTTGACTTGGTGTTATCAACACTGTACTCTGACCAACTGAGCTAACCGGCCAACCCATTTCTTAAGTTTTCAGTCTGGAGAGCAATACCATCCCTTCGTTAAACAAACACAATCAAGTGCCTCCTGGGGACGTTACAGTGTAGTGGTTAAGGGCACAGGCTTTGGAGCTACACAGCACAGGGATCAAAGCTCAGCTCAGCTACTGCCAGGCCAAGGGCCATCAGATTTCTCATCTGCGAATAGGGACCAACATTGGCCTCTCAGGTGTAAGGACTGAACGAGCACAGTACCGACCCCTGCTAGGTTCCCAGCACAGCAGTGGGTGACGTGTGCTGTGTCACAGGTACGAGCAGGGTGCCAGAGGAGCACAGAGGACGGGCTTGCACCCAGGTGCAAGGCAGGGAAGCTTCCAGGAGGAAGGGATAACTAAACTAGACCTAAAGGAGCACTAGGCCCTCTTACGAAGCCACAGGTGTGCTTCAGGGAGGGAACACAGGTCTGTCTGGCCATAGCACTGGATGTGAGGGAGGGCAGGAGAGTGATGAGGCCAGAGAGCAGGCAGGACCAGATCAGGTTGGGCCCCCCAAGCCTCGCTGCAGTCTGGATTCTACCCCGAGGGCACAGAGAACCCAGGGAGGCTCTAAGCTGGGAAGTGACAGATTTGTACTTCACGTGGGGTTTGGGCTGGAAAGAAGACAGGAGGCAAGGACACAGCTAGGCAGCTGCTACAATAAGGCCTGGGGAAAATGCTGACAGACTGTACTAGGGCAGTGACCAGAAGGGTGAGAGAGATATGTGGATTGGGGAGATTTAGAAGGCAGAGTCACTCAGACTCGACAATGGCCTGTCACAGAGGACCATAAGTGTTAAACGAGTTAGTACACACCACTCCTCACGCTGAGTCCAGTATGTCCTCACTTCTCTCATCAGTACAATCACTGTCGGAGGTAAAGGAGAGGGAAGAGACAGAGGAGAGGCCCAGGAAATGAGGAGGATATTCACAAAAGCCAGGAGGCCATGCTTTTCAGCTGGCCCAGGAGAGTCTAGGCCTCAGCATGGCTACATGTTTAAAGGAAAAACATGACATATACCCAGGTAGGTCCTAATGGGATTTGAATTTTTTTAAAAAATGGGAATACATTGAGAAATTGTCTCCATCTTGCAAATAAGGAAACAGAGGAACAGAGAATGAGGCCAGGTCCACACCGGTACAGGGCAGGAGGAAGACCAGAGGGTATTTGGGCAGGGACTCCGAGGGGACACCTGATTTCATCAGGGCCAGAGACTGAGGCCCCTGTATAGAAGCTGTTTCCATAGAGAGACAACGACGAATTATTCAAGAGTCAAAGTCGTTTTCCCCAAGTGGCTTCCCTCTCTCTATGGGCCCCAGTGCCCGGCCTCTTCTGTTTGAAAAATGTCCTGGCTTCTCTAGGACTTGTGGGGGTGTGAGGTAAGTGTTGCTTGGGTGGCCCCCTTCCTCCATGCCAGGGCCAGGTGCCTGGCAGAGCCTGGGCCCTGGGAAGGTGCCCCGTAGCTCTGGAGCTTGTTGTGAAGTTCACAAAAACTGGCCGCTGATGCACTCGCACCACAGCTTTACTTCCTTCCTGGGGAGCAGGACACTCCAGGCAGAGGGTCAAGTGCCACCTGGAGGTAGTCCCACCACGGCTCTCAATAGACAGGGACCAGGAGCTGTGTGGGCCTCACCTGGAGCCTGAGAGCAAAGAGCAGAAGCTCAGACACTCTCCCTCTTTATAATGCTGAGTATGACAGCTCCCGGGGTGACCAGGTGTCCGGCATCACAGGAGGTGCTCACATGTACTACCTCATTTACCATCAACAGCAACCCAATAACATAGGTTTTATTATCCCCACTTTACTGATGAGAGAACAGGAGCTTAAAGAAGTGAGTGGAATGTACACGTTCACATAGCTGGCTGGGGAGGAGCTAGTCTTGACCACTTGCTATGGGATACGTCCAACATTTTTTTTTTTTTAAAGATGACCGGTAAGGGGATCTTACCCCTTGTCTTGGTGTTGTCAGCACCACGCTCAGCCAGTGAGCC